AAGGAGCCCCCCCACCCCGACCCCGCAACGCGGCGAGCACCGATCTGGTGTAACGACTCCCAGGAGGGAAAGCTCTACGTTGTTCTTTCTGTTGGCACCGCCTCAACCCTGAGCAGGCCCCTGAGTGGTGTGAGCCTGCGAAGTCCTGGAAATCCTCCTGCAGCCTCGGCACATCTGGGTCCCCTAACCATGCATATTTATGCCCAGTAACGGTAAAACCCGGGTCAGCTGCTTGGAGCCAGTGAACTGTGCTCCTGAAAGCTGACCAAATCCGTAGTAAAATGCAGACGAAGCTGTCTCTCCAACTCCTGTGCAGTCTCATAACACTTGAGGCAGTTTTTGTTTTTCCTAAAAAGGACAAAGGAAAAGGGGAAGAATTGCTGCAGTGGAAGTGTGGAGGGGGGAGGGGGTGCCACCATTCTGCCATAGAGATCTTGATTTGCCTCTTGTGACCTACCTACTCCCTTTCCGAGTTTCTAAACCCTGGGGAGGAGTGGACCTCACTTTCATATTCTTCTGCCTATGGTGTTTCTTGGTCATCCCTTCCTCTATCATCTTCCCATTGAGTGAGTGGCTCTTCTCCCCTTCATAGAAAACAGTGAATTCCTCTTCTGCTCGCCTTTCACTTCTGTCACTTCCCTCAGAAATGCTCCTTTTGCCTAACTAGCTCAGGGGACAGACACTTTGTTGCACAGCCTGGAAGAGGAGGGAGACTCTGGAATGGGATGGAACTGGGAAGAGGACATCAGAGCAATAATGCTTGTCTGCCCTCCCAACCTGACCACTCTCCAGCCCCCTAGGAGTCTCTTGAGGGGCTCTGTTTGTGTTCACTAACATTCATATGCTGAAACTGTAATCCCCAGTACCTCAGAATATGACTATATTTGGAGACAGAATCAACAAAGGGGTGGCTAAAGCTAAAAAGGGCCATATGAGTAGGTCCTAATCCAATGTGACTCATGTCCTTACAAGAAAAGGAAATATGGACACCCAAAGGATGAATGGTGCACAGAAGAAAGACTGAAGGTGAGGCCATCTGCAGGGCAGGAGAGAGGCCTGGGGGAAGACCAACCTCCCTTCACCTTGATCCTAGACTTGTAGGCTTCAGAACTGAAAAACACATTTTTGTTTTTTAAGACACCGAGTTTCTGGTGATGGCAATCCTGGAAAACTCATACAAGCACTAAGGAAGCTGGGCAATTCTCACGGCCCTCCCTCTTCCATGACTTGGAACTCTTTCCCTTGATGGCTTTGGCCTGGCACAGCATTTCTTTTCACTATGTTCCAAGTGAATCCAGTGTTTTTGAGATGAGAACTTACCATGCAATGATATTTTGACCCCCGTGTTTGATTTTCAGAAGTGTGTTCTTTACGAAGTGGCACAGTGGGTCTCACATTAAAATCACCTGGAAAGCGTTCAGAACGTACTGATGACTGGGTTCTTTCGTTCAGCATTCTGATTTAATCGCTCTGAGGTCTGAAGCTGGTCAACAGAATCGTTTGAAGAACCTCACAGGTGTTTTATTTTTTATTTATTGTTGGCAGTATGGGATTTGAACTCAGAGCCTCATGCTTGCTAAGCAGGCATACTCTACCACTTGAGCCATTCCACCAGCCCTGTTTGTGTTGGGTATTTTCGAAATAGGGTCTCCAGAACTATTTGCCTGGGCTGGCTTCCAACTGCCCTTTCTGATCTTTGCCTCTCAAGTAGCTAGGATTACAGGCATGAGCCATGGTGTCCAGCTCTCATAGGTGTTTTTAATGTACAATCAGGGTCTAGAACCACTCCAAGAAGGGACAAGGATTAGTTAACTAATTAAATGCTCTTGGCTCCTGTGTCGTTGGACTAGGCTCCTTTAACTACTTTAGGTTTTGTTCTGCTAAAAAATGTCATCTCTTCATTCTTCTCATTGCTGAGCCTGGAGGCAAAGGTCAAGTGAAAAAAAAAAAAAAA